CTACTACTACTACTACTACTATTCTATTACTATTACTATTACTATTACTAGTACTACTACCACTTCCAATTGAAAGCGATTGTTGTTGTTGTTGTTGCGGCTGTTTTTGTTGGACTTGCTGTTGCTCTTGTTCTTGTTCTTCTTGTTGGTGGCGGTGGCGGTGTGTTGACGGTGGTGGTGGCGGTGGTGGTGGTGGTGGTGGGCGGTGGGCGGTGGGTGGGTGGTGGTGGTGATGGTGGGTGGTGGTGGTGGTGATGGTAGGTGGTTCTTGATGTTGTTCTTGATGTTGTTCTTGCTGTTTGTGGTTGGATCTCTCCGGGTTTGTCTTGAAGCGAGCGTGGGAAAAACGCAAGAGGCCGATCTCGACCTCACGAGACTTTGGGCATCTCGTCGCGACGACTCTGCGATGGAGTTGGTGGTTGGTCATCCGGATGATTTCGAGCCTGGGATGGAGATGGCTCGTTCATGCCAAAGAAAGTGTTAGTCTATCTGTCTTGTCACCACAGGAGAGGTTGGTTCCTTCAGCTGTACGCCGACACAATGGCTCCACGGCAGTCGAGATCGACATCAAAAAGATCCCCCGAAACATGGGCAAGGCCAGCAGGACGCATGTGGATCCTGTGCCAGTGCCTTATGTAGGTAGAGGTGACCTCAAGAATCACGGTCCGTGTTCATCAGGCCCTGCAGCTGACACAGCTTCTACCGATTTTGCAAACGAACTCTGCCAGGTGGGGTCGTCTTGCTACCAGCTTTATCCGTTGCATGCTTTTGGTAGTGCGGCCGCAGCAGGTTTGTGGCTTTCGAGATCAAGGACATGGATCGCGCAGTGCCTCGCTTCGGTGGTTTCGTTTCGGCAACAAAAGCGGCCAGCGGGACCGGAGACTGAAGAACATTCAATGAGATGGGCATGCGGGCGAAAGCCGTAAAACACATCAACACGAGATAAGCCGACTTGTTCGAGGTTATGCAGTCTGCTCAAGGTGTGTAAATGCAACTCCCATGTCCTAGAGGCACTGGAGCTGACGTTGCAGACGCTGCACCGAGCCGGGATGGCAGGTGGATGCAAGTTCGCCGTGTGGTATTCGCCTGCGGACCGGGTGGGCGAAACGTTACAGGGCTGGGTTACTCTGTGCAGGTCTCGGAAAGACCTGTTCTGATCCGCTTGTCTGGGGCGGACGAAACAGCAAAGAACTGCTGTCAGTCATGTTGCCGGTGAGGGTAGTTCGCTTGCGAGATCTTCTGTTCCGCTTCTATTCACATCTACTCATACCCGAGTGAAAGTGAACAAACGCCTGTCATTGCACGACAACTATAGTCCTAGTTCTCAAAGAACCACCAGACACAGACGCACAGCACACACCATGCACCACTCACCCATGCACCCACGCGCCCACGCACCCACGCACCCACGCACCCACGCACCCACGCATCCACGCACCCACGCACCTGCACCCCACCCGCACCCGCACCCGCACCCGCACCCGCACCCGCGCCCGCATGCGCACGCGCAAGCGCACACGCACACGCGCATGCACTCTCACACACGCGCACACCCACACATGCGGTTGCAGTAGGCAAACTGAACTTCGTTCCGTCCCGGAACGACGAGCTTGGTTCTTCGGGTTCAAGGTGTTGGTGAGGTTGTGCGTAATCAATTAGGCAAGACCAGGCCGGAGCTCTGCTTACTTGAGACATCCATTCCTTGCCATGGCACGCAGGATATGGACCTGTTCCAGCAGGTCCACAGGAAGCGTTACCCGGAGATCAAGAGCATCCTTGTCACTCAGACGGAGATTCAGGTGTTGCACGACTTGCTGAGGATGACAGCGCTGCGCACTGTGCAGTTCTGCCACTGGTGAAACTGCCAGTTCCAGTGTGCGAGCAGCCTTTCTATTCAGAAGCTCAGGCGATGTACGATCGACCGTGGAAAGGGCACCGAGCTCGCAAATTAGCAGCCTTTTTTGTAGGTCGCCGGGGCAGTTGTGTTCTGTGAATTGCGCGACATGTGAGTCACTGCATCATGGAGACAGATGATATCATGGCACGCACGCCTGGAAGGAACCCAGCTGCTTCTTTGGCCAGTTTAGATGAGGCAGCAGAAGGTGGCTTCGATATGTCCCCAGGCTCAAAATTAGTGCAAGAAGGATAGCGCATGTCAACTCCTGCAAATTCGCAACTACCCAAACTGGCTTGAAGCACGAGAGGCTGCATTCCTGCTTTTCCTTTCTTGCTGCCTCAGACCTCCTTTTTGTTGCTCTCTGCCCCCCCACCAAGAGGAAAGACAGTAAGTAGCATAAGTAATGCCCCCCCTCCCCCAGAAAAGGCACTGCACTGCATCCAAAGCTTGGTGAATGAGTTTATGCCATGCTTAGCTCCACGGCCTTTCTTTCACTTGCTACAGCAGACAGGGTGGGACCGTCCATCGACGTGAGCGAGACGCTGCTGTCCAAGGCTGTTCGCCAAGGTTTCGGCGTCACCTGGCAAGTCTTGGCAGTATATGATTGCTTGACCATGTTACCAAGAAGCGACGCTGACCTGCTCGTTGGGTCCCTTGGGGTTCCCTACCATGTCTATTTGAAGGTCTGGTGCTGCATCGTCGGTCATATGTCAGGCCAAGTCTTGAAACGCGCATGTTCGACAAAGTGGCAGTGCAATAGACAGTCAAGGGCGAGTGCTTGCAATCGAAGCCTTTTTCTGTTTAGCCACTTCCTGCACTTGCCAATGGAATTGGAAACCGTGTTGAGTTGAAACATGCTGGGAATGCTTGTTGTGAAGGCTGTCGCCAGAAGGCCTCTGTAGCCTTTGTGGTCTAATGCCACCTGCAATGCTGCAAACTTGTGTGACGGTCTGCTCGCGCGACTGTCTCATCATGCATTCACTCCAGGGACTGGTGGCGGTGACGTTGGGGGTCCGTTCTTAAAGGTTCCTAATCGCACCTGACCCCTCTGCACATCAAGTCTGGATCCTCAATTGCAAAGTTGGCACATTTGCTGAGTTGGAGGCCTTTTTCCCTCCTGCCACCCCCGCTGACTCGTGTGACTCCTCTACCACGCTGGTCGTTGGATTCAGGTCATGGCCTATGGCATTTCCACCGAGGACAACTGGAGGGGAGAAATCAGCGCACTTTCGCCAAAGCTTGTTTCCGTTGTAGAGATACGAATACATATATTTTCCACAAACTCATGCCCACATTTGTATAGACGCAGGCAGACAACCCGAGCATACCTAAGCGGTCTTTCACAACCGGCCTCAAGCTCTGGGAGCACAATTGTGCGGAGAGGGCTTCAGTATGGCTTCAGTGGTTGTGGCGGGCTGTCGTGTCCGGTATGGACGGCATGCGCGCTTGCTCACGTGGCTGCCGCAACGGCATGCTGAACAAATGCATGGGTGAGCAGCCGTGATAGACTTTTGAAGTTTTGCGGGATACTGCTCTGAACAGTAGACCTGGCATGAGTTCATAAGCAGCTTTGGGTTGCTTAAGACTTAAGAAGGGGATGACCACTTCGCAGCGTTTTCCTGCTCGACATGTCGGTGGATCCATATAAACAGCTGAGTCAAGTCAGTAACCCTGCAATGCTGGCATAGGCACACTCAGGAGCTACATGGTATACCAGTACTACGCAACTGCTCAGTCATGGCTCACGTTGACTAGTGCAGTCGTATGTGTGGCTTCAAAGAGAGTAGGCTGCAGTTCACCGTGGCCGTGTGACAGGAGCACGTTGTGAAAGCAGCCAGAACTGGCGTGTGACTTGGCCGGAAAGGTCCCGATCGGTTGCGCAATGACGAGAGTCGGCCCTAACCCAGCACAGGCACCAGAAAGCATTGAAATATCAGTATGGCACGGCTGAGGCAGTACATGGCGACTGACCATCCGGTCTGGCTGCAATCTCAGCTGGAGATGCTCCGTTCGAGACCTGGCGTGGCATTAAAAAGGCATTAACGGCATATGTCGTTCCTTTCCATTGCCCAGTGGGCATGGTTCTGGAAGGTGCAGGTGGGTAACAGATACCAAAACAATCCGGAACACAGAGCAAACAAAGCAGCACAGTCTCCATCGGCCGGGTGTCATCGCATCTCTGGCGCATGCGATCGCAGAGCTCTGCTGTGAACCGGCTGCAGTCAAGCGTGTCGCAGCTTGGCTCAGGACAGGCGGCTGTGGCGGTCCGGGGCGGCTGCTAGCGGTGCCTGGAGCTGCAACGATGCCAGGACAACGAGGTCCACCTAGCTGGGCCCGTCTTCCAGCGACAGCTTCTGAGGTCTGCGGGGCACAGCTTGGCACAATCTGGATTGCTCAGGGCTGCTTGGACTTTGTCAAGGTGCTGCGATGTGCACACACTCGTGGAACTAGTTAACCTTACTCAGCACCACCCGAGCCCCAGCCTGAGAACCTTGGTCTGGCAGATTCCGATAGTATTGTTTTCAAGCAGCCCATAGCCAAGGTACGCTAGGCTCGACAGCGAAGACGGTGCTCTGCCTGCTGTCGCTGCTGACCATGATATGCTGGCCAGTATTCATGTTTATATTGTGAGAGATTTCCGCCTCAGCTCGTTGGCAAAGTTGGCAAAGCCAACGGTTGCTGGGCCCTCGTGCGCTCATTCGCTGCCGCGCGGCTCTGTTTAAGAAAACCATTGGCCAAGAACAGCCGCTTGATCCACGAGGTGTCGCGGGGCGGCGGAAAAGGACGTGCTCATCAGAAAAGGTGCAGTTGACCATGATCTTGCGACGTTCCCGTCGGTTTTGCGAGAGCCAGCATCGCCAAAAGACTCTTGGGCTGAAGTGTTGTCAGAACCACATAGCACCAAAGTTGCCACAACAGCCTATTGTTGGAGTTCAGCTTGCGCAGTGCGGCTGCCAGAAGCCTTGGCCTTGCGGCCTTGCGCTGTGCGACATGCCGAGCATGTCATCATGGCTTCTACGGCTGAAATTCCGCATGCAGTTGTCCTGTCCGGACCGCTGTTCTACCAGCCACACATTACGGCCCTGTATGGTGGCTACAAGAGGAGCGGTTGCTGAAGCCCTTAGCTCAGGGACTTTCGCAATGTGGCTGCTGCCCTGCAGGACTGAAAATCTTTTCCAAAAGGCGACGTATCAGAAAGACCCTCTGCAAAGGGAGGGCATTCAAGACCAGATGAGCTATCTTTATTTCTCACTAGCAGATGGAAAGCCAACCAGCTGCAAGGAGTTTGCGCAAGATAGTACCTGCAACGTCTGGAACTGTCTTTCGGAATCCCTTTAACATCCTTGCCATAATCAATTGCATGCAATGTTTGGTTCCTTGGTTGTCATCTCCGCACCCCTGCGCCCAAACATGAGGTGGTGCGTGGGCACGAAGCTAGGTGCTACCATTGCCGAGCTGCCCGAAGCCGGGCGCAGCTGCCCCCCAGTGCTGATCTACCAGGCAACAGCTAAGCGGGGAAGGAAAGGCTTGGACAAAGTAGCTAGGGCCGCAACCACGTGCCAGCAGATCGGATTGGGTGTATGCTTCAGCTGTAGCTGCAACTGCAACAGTGGGAGGAATCAAAACCTTGAGAGGTAGGACAAATCTACGCTCCTGACTTGTGACTTCCTGATCGTGTGAGGCTGCGGGCACCGACCCGGAGCAGGCATTTCCTAACCTTCGCGGCTATGTTTCCTGGGCAGCTAACCTGACTGGAAAACCAGGTGGCCAGACCAGCATGGACTTTTTGATGCATTTTCATCACATGCCTGCCTCACCTCTCTTCTTCACTGCTAGCAATTCTATGCAGTTCGTGTTTTGGTGTCCAACATGTCGTCGCCCCATTACACACGGAGAAGAGTGATCATCCAGAAATATGACCATTGGCGATAGGCCACTGGGTTCTGATCCGGTGATGCCTGAGTATCAGAAGTACCTGCACAAACACATCTGAAGTCCTTCCAGGTTCTGGGCTTAGCTTGGCCGCCGTGCACTGTGAAATGCAGGTACGTGGAATCCGCGTCCGGATTCCATACCAGTATCACAGAAAAAATGCAGTCCATTCAAAGCAGCAGCCGAGGGCATGGACAGGCCGGACCGGACCGACCTGGGACGGTGAAGCTGCCGGCCGGAACAATTACATCGGCACGGCTGCATTAGGAGCACACTCCCGCGAGGAAGCGCAAGCTGCCTGGAGTAGAGCTGGCTATCAGGCTCATTGCTCGTTGCAGAAGCTTCGGACGTGAACTGCGACCTCAACCACAATCGTCTTCAGCAGGGAGACGCCTCGAGCAGTTCCGTGCGCATGTTCGCGGGCAGCCTGGTTCTCGGATGCCTCAGTGGGCGACTGAACCTCGTGAAGGCTACTGGCGTTGGCCGAGGGCGATGGCTCGAGTTCGCAACGACTTCTGCACTCTCTCCGAGACTCCCGGCTATCCAAGGCGACCTCGCCGAAACCCTCGATGCATAGATCGACTTTGCCGCTAGACCGCAGACGCAGCGATACCACGGCCGAACCGGAAACCACCTGACGAGGTCCATCCGGCGACACGATTGATGAGTAGTTGTCGGTGGCTGATGAGTGCAGTCCGGGGACGAGAGGGTGGGACAAGACCCGCCACGAACAAGAAACTATCGAGAAGTTTGAAGGCGCTCCGGGACCAGGAGTAAGACCTCAGGCAGGCCGAGGAGCGACGCGGTCCGAAGCGAATATATTGGGTGGAGCAACTGGGCTGGTGGAGCCAGGGCAGCGTTCATTGGGTCGGTGATCGGAAGCAGAAGTTCACTCTTTTTACGGTCGAGGACGAACCGGCCTCGCCTTCATCCACGGCTCTTGCGCCTGACTGCGGCAAGAGCATCGGAGGCAATGGCCGCGGTATACACGGTCTGGCTCATCTGTGCCAGTAAGATGCAGCAAGGACCATGATGTTCGGCGGTGCCCCAGACGAGGCTCAGGCAAGGGCTCCTCGCCGGCCTATGTCTTCACCCATGGTGCTTAGCACCAGCCATGACGAGTCAGTCGCAGCCTTCGACATTCCGCAGCAACGTGAACTTCTTTTCCGTCCGCAGCATGTTCTCTCGAGTCAGGAATGCTTTTGTTTGTCGTGTGATGCTTCACGAAAGTGTCCCGACACTGCGCGATACAGAGCAGAAGCTCCAGCGTGAAAGTGAGCTTCGAGTTCGAATGCCGAACGTTGTGTTGTGCTTTGGAGCAGCTGTCCCTGCAAGCTTTGCAGGAATTAGCAAGTCATGGCTTAGCAGGTCTTTCGAATTTTGTGTTTCAGTGTAACATGCAGAATGTAGAAAGGTCAACGGTTTGGGGTTGGCTAGTAGGTGTCCCGGCATTGCCTTCAGTCCGTGGTCAACAGTGTATTGTTAAATTTGAAAACAAAAAATCGATGTGAGCAGCTTCTCGGTCTCCGATGAAAAAATAATGAGGTTTTCCTGCTATCAGGAGATCAGATACAGACGTAGTAGCAGGAAAGATGTACAAGTACAACAGAAAGTGGCCACGATTGCAGGTTCACATATTTAATACAGCTTCATTTCATGGCGCATTGATTCGTAGCGTGTGTGTGTGTGTGTCTTTACAATGTCATGCGTTGGCACTTTAATCGACATTCTTTCGAGTGCTGTGTGGTACAAGGTCTTATGCACTTATGTGTTTGTCTGGCAACATTGTTAGTCCATACGTTTGTTCATAATTTCCTTTTCATTGCTGTTGATACGGTGATGTCAAACACTGCTCTTGGTCATAAGCCGTGTTAAGGCTTCAGACTTCAGATTTCCAGAAGTTTTTTTGGGTCGAATCCTTTATGTTAAATAGCGCGGAGCGCCAAGAAGACGGTGTCCAGGAACCAGGAACCAAAATCCCCGTAACAAGTTTAGGCGTTTCAATGCCTGCGTTTGTGCTAACGGAACCCGGGCCATGCGGGAGCCAAGCAGCACGGCCATGTTGAACCAACAAGCAAGAGCCAAGACCAAGACTTCTTTCAGGCGAATCTTGGTTCTTGGTTTTGGGTTCCTGGGCAGTGTATAGCTAACACGAGCCCAAGCGTGGGAACCAAGATCTGCCCCACAGCTTTTCTTTGAATCTTGGTTGTTGATTAACGATTTCCGGCCGCCCCGAACTGGGAACTTGTAGCAGTGTAGCGGTGTATTTGGCGGCAGGCATAGGAGGTCTTTTTGGCTGATTCGCTGTTGTATGTCGTAGTGGTCTGGGACGACATGTCAGGTTATTTTGCTTTCGATCACCTGATCGTGTTGGAGGCGTTGTTCTTGCCAGAAGAGGCTGCCGATCAGAGTTCTGAGGGGGCCTTCATGCATATCCTGGTGACTGGGATGCAAGCCACGGGCTGAATTTGACGTGCGGTGTTTCTCATGTAGCAGGTTGTTGTGTAAAGTGCCAAAACACCGAAACGGAGAATCCAGACAAAAACGCTCGCTCTGACTTCTTTGAACTTCAACTTCAGGTTCAGCGGTATGTTGATTACGAGTTTCCGCCAAGTGGTGTGTCGCTCCTCGGCGAGCCACCAGCTCTGAAGCCGCGTCGCAGCGCCAGGCGGGCAGGGTCGCATTGGCACATCACTCTCAAAAGGTTTGCATGAAGCTGCTGTATTGATATCGAACGATGCAAGATGAGGCAGTCACTCTGTCTTAAGGCCACAGCTCCAGGTGCAGATAGTGATCACTTGCAAAGGACCGTGTTTCCTGGCAATGCCGACTCAAAATCTTAAGGTCAGGAGGAGTATCACAGAGGCCAGAGTAGTAGGTCATCCGCGGTTGACACTTCGACAGGTGGCTTCGCATCTCGCATTTTGCTCGTTTGTCTCGAGATATGAGGACACTCAGGAGACGTGGGACAGAGAACTTCGTCGCACGGATTACCGGCTTCGAAGCTCACTGTGCCAGGGCCGCCTGGCGACCCAGCGCAGCGATGGCAGGATTGCAGCGTTCTCTCCAGGTGTTCGACCGCGAGACAGAGCCTTGGGCGCAGTTGCCTTTCATGGTCGGTTCTGCTGGTTGTTGAGGGAGCGGTTACTTCAGAGCAAGCATATACTCCCAAGAGCCAATCTAGGAGCCCGGTGCCACGCGTGACTGGGCTACTCGGCTCTTGCTTAGACACCACTTGCCGCCACTTCATATTTTTGCGTGGAGGATCGTGGAGGTCACATAGACACAACCCCGGCGCTCCCATAAGTTGCGGGAAGGTTGGCTTGGCCAGCACGGCACCGACAGACGTCAGCTTCAGTCGATCCGTACTTGCTGCCGTCCGCGAGTATCCAGCGCATGTGGAGGGGCTTCTGAGGCTTGGATAGGGAGGCGGAGAGAGTCAGCATACAGTGTGCAGCTCTCGTGTGAGGAGCGGGCCCCTCGTCACGGACGGCAAGTACCGCGTCTGCTTGTTCGATGTCTGGGAAAAGGAATGGAGAGAGCTGTGTGCTGCGCGGCTTTCTGGTCTGGTGTCTCTTTGAGAGTTGTTGGCCGTCACAAAAGTTGGAGTCTTCGTTGAGCGAGACTGTGCTGCAAGGTAGACGACTTCGTGCCCACAGTGAGGGAGCCGCAAGCATCTACGCCGACGCACTGGGCTGGCGGTTCTCTGCGCCCTTTCTGGGTGCCTTTGGTTGCAGTTGGTTGCAAGGCTACCTGGTTTCGCTTTGCAGTGATGTCCAGCGGTCCAGAACGAAGGTGATGCTGCTGGAAAAAGCGCAGCTTGGCAACGTTTCGATCGCCAGAGTCCGGAATTCTAAGCTGCTCGAGCATGCTCGCATGGGCCGCCGAGCACCCAAGGCTGGCAAAGCTTTGTGGAAGTTACGAGGCATTGGAGTGCTCACACCCCGGTGGGCTCTTGGCTGCGCTCACAGGCCGTGCTTTCTCGTGCGGATAAAGTATAAAACCTGTTGTCATGAATGAGGGAAGTTATTGCAGTTTGACATGGTCAGTGGTGCCGAGATGTTTGAAGTGACTGTCCGCTGCTCCTTCACGGCGTGTGCAGGTCAGGCCGAAGGACTGCTCCACTGGGAAAAAACGAACGGTTGGTGGGCTGCATGGCGTGAGAGGCTCAAAGTGCAATGGACGTGGCGGCAACATCGATCAACTCGATTGGCCTGAAACCTTACCTGCCATTGTCCTTGGTAAGATCACAGTCTCGCCTCGGATGCTCCAAGCCTTTGTAGATGACTGGGGTCACCAGCGACTGCCGCTGCGTTTTAATATAAGGTCATGCATTTCCCATTGTGGACCGGAGTGTGCGAATGCCTTCTCCTTCTCCGTGCCTGCACCGAGCCTTGGCACCTGCTTGGTCTTCGAACCATTCCTTGAGCACTGGCACAAGGCTTTCTGGCAAATCGAGCTGGCTGCTTGCCTCGCGTGCGTCATCCGTCAGTTTAGGCCGAGCGTCTGCGCGACGCCCGCTCAAGTTCCAGCTCCAACGTGTAGGCCTGCCGGCCTATCCCCGCTTCGTCAGGGACGATGGTTACAATCCAGTTTCGCATCGGATGGCCGCTCACATCTAAAACTGTAGCACTTGCTCTCCTCGCTTTGTTTCCGGAGGGGGCACATGGCATCGTGGCGACGAATTCTTGGCAGAGTTGAGGCGAGGAAGGTTTAGGGGCGATCGGCTTCAGGATCATGTGTGTCACCAACATCGCCGACAATACTTTTTGAAATCTTGGTGTGATCTCAGAATCTGCGCCTACCCACTTGTATCCCGAAAAGATCCAAGAAAAGATGCTTGCGCACGTCCATGCAGAAGATTTTGCTTCCTTGGAAGGGCCTGGTATGACAGCTGAGAAGTATTGATTTGCATCAGTCTTTTCCAATGGGTAACGGAGTGTACCAAAGAGGACGATGGTCTAGCTGACTGTGCCGTTTATGTTTTACTGCTTGATACCAGGGAGTGGAGCTCGGATTGCTTTGAGGAAGCATAACTTTCATGTACACAAAGGTGACTGCTTGAAAGCCTTGTAGGGAGCTGCACGACAAGAACGCGCTGCTCCTTGCTTGGATATTTCCAGGCACCCTGTTCGCAGTGCGAATATTCAACTGGAAGGAGTGGCGTAGGCTTGCTCGTTTTTGAGTGCTATCCGACAAGAGAACATCAAGTTGTTTCGGCAGTGCACAACGCAGGCGAGCGAGGAGATGCGACACCTCCCCGCGCCGACGGACTGGCAGAGGTGTGCTTTTGTGTCTAAAGGTGGTTTGTGTTTGTAGCAAATCCAGGGCCATGGCTATTCCATCGTGAACTTCCTCGTGGAGAAGGATGTGCAGCTTGTTCAGCTGAGAAACCTTTGGGGCTCTACCTGGAAAGGCGGGGCCCGGTCCAAGTGGTTAGACAGCTTTCGTCTCCACCAAAGCCATTCCGTGACTCTTCCAATTGAAGTTGGCTCTCGACATTTTGCAACTACGACCTACGATGCGCAGTGTTGGAACCCAGCTCAACTTGCTCAGCTCGGTAGTCGTATTTGGGTTTGTGGCATGTCGTCACGAGCATGGTTTCAGGCGGGCATCACAGCCAAAGCCCCGGGCCGACCCTCGGGGAGTTGGACTGAAAAAAAGGACAGATAAACGAATCCCATGCCGGCCCGAAAAACGAGGCACCTAAGTTTGGACAAATCTTGGCTCATCGGAATGGTCGACCCTGAGATGCCTCACATGTCGACTTGTACAGTGTTTGTCGTTCTCACGCAAATTTGCCACAGATACGAGCCGCCCATTGTTGATGCGCGCTCTTCTCGACAGAATCGTGTTTAGTTATCTCCCACTTGAGTGTTGTTCTGGGCTGATGGACTGCATGCTTTGGCCTTCTCACAACGCACGTTGCAGGTGCATGGTCGGATGATTCCCGCGAACTGCCCTCGGTCGACTTTGCAGTCTCTCGGGCCTCGGGAGAGCATTGTTGCAGCACAGGAGTGGCTCGACAATCCACAGATCCGCCGCCACCATTTTCGACCAGACCATCGTGCTACAGGCAACACATGGCAACACCACGGCATACACCACGGCATGGCTAGATTGATTTTGCGGCCCGTGGCAAGGTGTGGGTTCTCGAACTCATGTTTCAGAGGGAAGGTACCAGTAGCGAGTCTCCGAGGACATGCCCGGACAGACAGCGCAGCCCCCCAAACTGCAGCATGTAAACCTTTCCCATGCGCCTGAGATGCTGCAGAGCACGTGCAACGTTTTGAGGGACTTTGTGTTTCATCTATCGAACCCATGCTTCTGCCTCCTGCGGCGACAACGGGATTACAGATGCTGTGTTTCGGTTTTGGATGCGTGGATGGAGCTGCGGCGACCGTCATGAGGTTTTCTGCTCAGAACAGCAGTTCCAACTAATAGCATCCACAAGTTGCGGATCCCTTCTGTTCCGCGGGTAGTTAACAAGGGCGGTTCGTCTGTCACCGCTGTTCTAAGATTCAGAAACGGCAACATGTGGATCGTCGTGTGTGCTGGCATGAACCACGTCCAGTGCTTCAACCAGGAAGCATCCGCTGCAGGCCGGCATCAGCATGCATCAGACCAGCCCCAGCCTACGATGCATAACTGCACTCTCGCCCCGGACCGTAGTGCCTTTGGCATGGCGAGCTTCCGCAGCTGGCTTGGGGCGGCAGTCTGCTTCATTGCTTGGCTTCTGGCACACAGGCATGCAAGGGTTGCGATGCTAGCAAAGCTTGCAAGCTTCCCCATGCGGCCCAGATTCAGCTTGGGCTGGGCTGCACCCAGCTTTCTGGCGCTGGTTCTGGCGGCCCTGTACCTGTGGAGTCTTGGCAGAGACACCAATTTTTCTGCAAAACGTTTGTACTACATATGAATGGTTCCCAGAACTTTTTGGGCTCTTGCCGCACACATCTCGACAAGACTTGTTGAAACCAACTCACCTGAAGCCTGGAGCTGAAATCGACCAAGGTTTGCTGTACTGCGGGTGCCGCAGTTCGGGAAAGAATTAGACGAGGCGCAGTGCTCCGGAATTTGGTTTTGCACTGCACTCTCCTTCGGAAGCCAAGTGTCGAAGCCCGGAGGTGAGAGCGGAGTTAATGTCAGAGCTCTTGGCGGATCCGCCTGCTGCCCCAGCCTCGAAGGCTTGCTGCTTGTAAAGTGCAAGGGCAGAGGTCAGAGGGTAATGTCATCTGGCAAGCGGCAGAGGCTCCGCCCACCTTCGAAGAGTCCTCAGAAGCGGCTTTGCACGCCTCACCTGCGGAGCCTGAAGCGCCTGCGCCAACATCTGTTGCTTGCGGCGACAAAGCGGCGGTCCCGGTTGATGGAGCAGAGGCAGAGGCACGTTCAGCACGTAGTGTGTTGCAAGACATTGTCACCGTTGCTGGGACGCGTTGCTGGCATGATTCCTTTTATTAAATGAAGGGGATTCAGAATCCCGAGGTCCGGCCTGCTCTGCAGCTTGATGCAAATTGCAGATTTCTCTCCTGTTTACTCTGTGACTTTTCTCAGCTGATTTGTCCTTCCACCGGTGCCTTCTCTCTTCTCTCACTCTCTCCATTCCTCTTTTGAATGGTTCATCAGACAACATTGGACACAGTGCGGGAAGCGAAAGCTGCAGGAACGGGGCAGCCCGGGGATTCTGCCCGTTGGCGTTCAGCCGCAGGCTGGAGCAGCTCAAAATGGGCTGCTGCCACAGCCGCACACTCCCGCGGCGAAGGCAGGTCAAAGTGTTCGGTTCTGACGACAGCTGATGCCAGTGCTCTTGAGTCTCTGGGACGTTGTCGTGAAGTTTCTGCATCAGCCTTTTCAGTGTTTGGCGGTTTTCGCGCGATACATCTTCGGGGCTGGTGCAGGTCTATGATACTTCCGCCGCCGCTGATCCCCCTGACGGCACCCGGTCCGAAGATGGTTTGGCACCCGAAGGGCTGCAGGTGGAGGAGGACGCGGAAGACCCAGTCAAGGCTCAAGAACTCAGAGTGGAGGGCAATGAGCACTTCAAGGCTCGCCATCCAAGTTTCATCCGGCATGAAGCGCTGTGCTGGGCCTGCCGCAATATGAATGACGCTCTAGCGCGAGGCTGGGCGGATCTACGAAGCACGCGAAGCTTACTCAGAGGCTTTGCACTTGAGTCCGCAAGCCGGCGAGGAGGGCGACGAGCCGAGCAAGGAAAGGGAGGGTCCGGAACGACTTTCAGTCCAGCCTTCAGTGCACGCTTTCAAGCGATTCTCTTCGTGCACAGGGGCGTGCGGTGCTGCACTGCAATCGAGCTGCCTGCTTGCAACGCCTCGGCCGCTGGGATGATGCCGTGAAAGCCCCCAAGCTGCAGCTACCGTTGGTTCGGAAGATGCACGCGAGATGCGGAGACAAAGCCAAGACTGCCCAGAGGTAGCGGCCCTGTCTCCGGTGAAGCTTCCTTGAAGAGCTCTTGGATGGATGAGGATGTTGCGTTTCTGTCTTAGGACTGCTCTGAAGCCGTCAAGCTGGACCCGACGCTCACAGACCGCAGATAGTTTTCAATTAGTGACGCTGCAGGCGGCACCTGAGTCACAACTGCTGGTTGGAAATGTGCGCTGCTTCGCAGGTATGTCAAGGCCTATGCCCGGCGCAGCACAGCATACGAGGAGCTGAAAAGCCACTTGGCCCACTTTGAACTTCTGTACAGACCCTGTCGTAGCTTTGCGCTTTGCATTCTCCCATTTCTCCCTTTGCCCACGCTTGAAAATTCGCCATGCTGGCGCAGAATGGCACGATTCCCTCGAAGACCTCAAGAAGGCTCTTGGGGGAGGGCTCACAGGGGTTTCGACTTTCAGGCACTGGGTTAGGTTGCTGGCCAGTCGCGGGTACGAGCACGGGATGTTGTGAGGTTGCCAAATTAGCAGCATACGCAACTGCTCGGCTGGTAGTTTCAGGCCATCGAGCTTGATCCAAGTCTGCGCTCGAAGGACAAGCGACTCTGCGGTTTTCCACCTGTCTGAGCTTTGTTTGTCCACGTTGCATCTGATCTGTTTCGTGCTGGATGGTAGAGCAGAACAGCTTGCAATTGGATGAACTTGACAAGGAGAGTCGCCGCATCGCCATGCTTGAACAGCGAGCTCAGGAGCAGTTCCTTGGCCGTTCGACGGTACGGACGGGTTTTGGAACTAGTTTAGGAGACGGGGAGCAGGGCTCCGTTTCAAGAAGCAGGCAAGACTAGTTTCGGGGTGCAAGGGCAAGGGCATGTCGTTCGAATCTTTGTGCCAGGTTTGAGAAGGACAAGGATGAAATGCTATCCAAGCTGAAGGACCTTGGAAATACCGTCCTCGGGCAGCTTGTCATACAGGAATTGCTGCCATTGTTAGGCCTGGTGTTTGGCTGGCGCTGATGCAGTGCGCTGGCTATCAGATAGTCATGCGCACTCAGGAAATTTGGGATGTCCACGGACAACTTCAAGATGGAGCAAGACCCAGATACGGGTAGTTGCTTCGCCGCATGATAATGCGAAATTCGACGGCTGCAAGGAGTGCCAATGCGTCAGGTGAGGTAAGATCCAAACACGCGAGGACTGCCTACCCATGGCACCCATTCCATGACAGCGTTTAAAGACACTTCCCTAGAAAGCAACGGCCTAGTGGCCATGCTGAGGGTTGATTTACAGTAGACAGCTAGAAGTATAGTTCGGCTGGAGCAGAACTTGTCTTCGTTCTCGGCGGGCCGAGCAACATAGCAGACGCCGTAGCAGTAGTCTTGGAACAGTAAAGTGTCGCTGGCCAGTCAGCAAGTTGCCAGGCTATTCCATCAAGTTTCAGAGCTGAGGGTGCCGTAGACTGCTGCAGGAAGCACTGCAGGACTGCTGCAGCGTGGCGGCGGCGCAAAAAGACTTGCGAGCCGCAGTTTTGCGAAGTCCCTAGATGCTAAGGCTAAGGCTAGTTCTTTACAGTTTACGGGATGGGACACTGGGAAGCAAACAAAAACTGTCCTTTTCTGCTTGGCTCCGTCGTCTCTGACAGGCCGTTTCTGGATGTCATGGGCAGACTTTTCCTTGATCTTCGATGCAGTCGAGACCTGTCCCATGGTGTCTGCAGTTCGGAAGGCGCACGGGGCACGTCACGCCATGTCAGGGACGTCAGGACTGCTCTTGACTCGCTGAGGCATCATACGCACCCTTGAATCCGCGTCCACACAGCAAGCAAGATCATCCATCCGGCGCCTTCTTAAGACTTTGGAGGCGCCGGCAATCAAGGCAGAAACCGCCATGCAAGCCACTGCTGGCTGCAGGTGGGAATGCTGTGACGTCGAGCGCGGCTCTTGAGCAGCAAGGGCGGGACCATGCCACGGCTGTCCCTGATTCCTTGAAAATGCAGGTGTCACCTTTGATGCCTGCGTGTTATGTGTCACTGCATCCAGCTGCAAAGTTCAGATGATGTGGTGAGGCACAGTGCCTTTTCAAGCAGGCTGCAGTTGCGGGCCAAAGGTTGCCCGGTGGGAGTGAGAATCTGCCAAAGGCCCAGCTCTCTTGCCCCCAGCTCCGTCGTCTCTGAGCTGGGGCACGTTGCTTGCATTCGCCAGCTCTGCAACAGGAGAAGCCTGGTTGTGCCTGGTTGTACGCTTGCAGGACCACCGCCCGCCTCCGTTGACTGAGCTTTTGTCGGACCCTTGGATCATCTTACGCGAAATGCCCGTCTGCGTGTTGAAGCACCGTTTCCCCCAAAGGGTGTCACATGTGTGGCTGCTTTCATGTGGAGGAAGTCTAGGTCTAAGTCTAGGTCTTGTAGACAACTACTTGTATCAAGACTAATACTGCAATGATTATAGTTTCGAAGTGTTCCGCAATGTGTGGGTCTCCGAGAGGAGATTTCGTACGTCTTTGGACTTTCAATTGAGGATAATGGATGCACCGGGTCGCCTAAATGCAGATGGCACTCCGCAGGTCTCCCAACCGCCTTTGCCCAGTGTTGTCGATCGGGGCCAAACACAGCATCTTTCACTGTTTCGCAAATTGCTTTCTCTACTACATGGCTTCAAGCCTATTCCGGCCTATCCCTGCCAGTGCTCGCCGCGTGATGCCGAGTGCTCACAGTTGTTCAGCATTGCCACATGCCGCGATGATACACATTGCACGCCGAATGCCAGGAAAAGTGCCACACGGCTTGCCTGCATAGGGTAGCAAGGTGGCGATCTTCAGACTACAGTGACTACAGAGAAGTGCACTAGAGAAGCGGCACGATTTGTGGAGTGCTGCAGTTTGCTGGGTAGAACTTGTCGCTGTGTGTTCTCTGCCTGCCCCGCTTCTCCCGCTTGCCCCCAAGCCGAGTCGGAGGGATGAGACAGGTATGTTGTGTCCTGAGCGTCAACTTTCCAGCAGTTCTCCTGTTCTTAAGGCGATTCCTGGAGGTCGCGCAGGCCCACGCAACAATGCAAGGACGATGTGCATCTGTAGAAACTGCAGGGGCAGGAGTCAGGAGCGGAAAGTAATGTTCGAAGCTTCGTGCCGTGCAGCAATTGCAGCACGGAAAGCTGCGAAGTTACTTGCTGGCTGAGTGGCAGGGGTGGATGAAGAGATGCAGGCAGGTTGTCACAGTCACAGAGGGGCGTGCTATGCGAGTTGTGAAACCCGAAACTGTTGTGCAGAATCTGCCCGTGAGCCAGGCAAAATGTCACTGCAGTGCATTGCAGAGGTGGGAAGGCCGGTGGTTGCCGGGTGATCACTCGAATCGTGCAGTTGAGCCAAGCTGTTTCGTGCGTCGACTCAGGGTCGCACGGGCTCCTTCTGCTGCTCGTGGCTGCTGTACACGAAGGCGAAGCCACATGTGCGGCCGAGCGCCAGTGCTGTGCAGCTGCCGTGAGTCAGTGGGTAAGGCTATACACGTCGAACTACATAGAAACACGTGTCCAACGCGGCATCATGTGAGGTCAACACTGAGGCTGAGGTACTGAAGACATTTGCCGGCTGATCTCCAGCAAATGTAGCGGTCTTCACGATGTCTTCGCTGAAGCATGCTTCAACTCAACAGCTGGCACAGGAGGCAGAGGATGCGGAGGATGCTCTGAACTTTTTTGCTCTACGGAGGCAGGGTGCTGCTGCGTGTTCTGCTGGTACATACCTGCCGTGGCATTGCAGATCAGGTTTGTTGGGGCTCAAGCGAAAGATCATGAGATCTTTGCTGGCCCTTGATGCTGCAGGACCGATCTCGAGAAGAAGCGCTTGTCAAAGGCCATGCTGAGATTACCCAAAGCAGTTATGCGATGGAAAGTCAGTGCATCGTTGCGTTGTTGACTCACGGTCGGTGGAGCCTTTGAGAGCCAGCATTGCCTGAACATCTTGTCGGCAGGCGAGGGATGGTGACAAAGACTCAGAAACCAAGAGGAAGAGTTGTTGGCACACAACCTCAAAAGCGTACATGCAACGTCTGCCTGTTTACACAACCCAGTTACAAGCCGAATTGCTTGGTCACTGGTGGCCGGTTGGATTCCCACCTCTGGCCGTTCAGGCACATCTTACAGTTTTGGAATTCCGTCCCTCTGCTTCCCTCTCCCTCCCCTCCCTTTCGAGTCTGCCAATATGCAGACACAATTTGTCCGTGTGGGATGGCCATGACCCAACTTTTTGTTCAGCCTGGCGATGTGCGAAGTGCACACTGCTTCGGCACCTGTGTTGTTCCTGCACGTGAACGTACACGCACATGCACCCGTGCGCTCCATCTTAATCCAATCCCTGAATGATGCCGCTCTGCATTTCGGTGATTGATTTTCCGGAGGAGTATGCGGGAAAGCCACAGTTGAGCGAATGTCGGAATATCTTCGCCAGTTTTCGCAATGGGTGCTGACCACAGGTTTTGCAGCCACCTGACGTGTGGCAGGTACAAGGGGTCGAGACGCCCTCCCAAGTCCGCTACGTTGGATATGCGTGAGCCTTACCTGCCAGCCCGAAGGCAGGAGATGACAGCTGCCATAGCTGCCCTATGTTCGGACATCCGGTTTTGGGGATTGCGTTCGGTAGTTAGGCTTGAAGGCGCTTTCTGAGGATTGCAATCTGGCCCCATAGGCGCACAGTTGCTCTTTCCCTTGTTCACAAAGGTGGACCGTCTGCTACGAGAGCAGATGGCGCCGGCAGCTCTGAGCTTCTGCTTTTGCTTTTTCGCTAGATAGATCCACTTAATCCGCTACTTTCTTCAGAGGTGACTTAATGGTAGCTTTCGCTGGGATGGTCTTGATTGGGTCTCCTGTCGCATGCCTTTGTCTATGGCAGCTAGGCTTCAGCATGGCAATTTCCTAGCATTCAGGTACTTGCCTTCAGTGGTCAGCATGCCACGCTTGGAGGAGGCAAAAAGTCCCGGAGCAGTCCGTTGGTCTCGCGTTGGCTTCCTGTCCAGTTTGGGCAGGTGCTGCTAGCCAGCGTGCAGGCCACCAAGTTTTTCACCGAGCAGTTCGAAATGCTGCATCGAGGCCTCCGAGCCTTTCAAGTGCCGTCCAGAGCCGTACATCTCATGGCTTGGCCACTATAGAGCGGCGCTATCGAAGAGAGACGAGACAACCAGAGCAGAGCTGTCGCGAAAGACCGGCTGCTGCCTTGAAGTGCAGTTGTTGGATCGGCCCGCCAATGAGCATGCCGGTGTGCAGAGATGCACGATTGCAAATGGAAAGAACAGTCGGTGGCCGCTGAAACTGCAACCCATCCCTCCTGGGATCTGAAGTTCAATGAGACCGCACAGTTTACGCAGGCCATCACCTCGTGGCAGTGCTCCAGGACAGCCCAGCTGGCGGATGTGTGAGTGGCAGTCTTGCCAGGTCTCGCACCGTCACCTTCGTTGTGTTGTTCACGTGAACCAAGCAGTAGCCTGACTGCAGCCATGCCGCTTATGTTGTGCAGGACGCAAGCACTGGCAGATCAATCGCATCAGCCCTCGGCCAGAACGATGGAGATGCCAAGGTGCGGGCAACTGTCAGTTTTCGATGCGAGAGCAACTCTAACGCCTAGACATTGCGTAGTTGCATTTCTCCTGGACCTCTTCTTGTGAATCCTTTCCTTGCTGCCCGGATTGCAGAGGGTGAGGGTCGAAAGTCCACGTTGTTCACCAACACCGTCTCCTGTTTTGGACAGATCTGGCATTTCGGCGAAGCAAGACTAAGCGGGAGCCTCTGAAAGAAGTTCTCCGGTTTCAGAGAAGCAAGCAGCCGGCAAGTGCTCTTTGTGAAGAGCTGAGATAGCAAGTCCGTTGCGGCCTCGTATTCTGTGGCAACCTCCGAGGCGGTGATGTCGGTTTAATCGTGTTGCCTGGCCGCAAGCACAATTTCCTTGTGCAGCATGCAGTGACAGCTTTGCCAACCATCTGGCTTGCCCGGCACGAAGTCACAATACCTAAGACGACTTTGCCTCGGTCGCATCTCAACTCATATCCGGCTTGTGCGAGGTACACGTGCCACCCCGACGGCCTTCCCATGGACAAGGAGCAGGCGAATGTTACCGGTCTGTGGTCGGTGTCAGAGACAGGCGAACTGATGAGCTAATCCCCTCCAATGCCAGGCATCTGCCCTCATTTCAGAGGGAGCATGGCAAGGCTCGGGCTTGCTGTTTGTTTCAGTGTTTCCATTTTTCAATATGTTTACAGTCTTTTCTGCGTGCTTGCTTGTCCGAGTGGACAGCGAATGCCACAGGCAGACAAGAGGTCACTGTATCTTGCATCGTGGTTTTACACGTCGATGCGTACGGGCGCACGTGTTCTGTACATGTTACATAAATACACACGGACATACACGCACACATGCATACGCGCGTATATACAGTTCCATACATGTGTACCTACGGAGATGCATGCATACGAAGGTACAGGCATGCGTGAGCATGCGCGCGTGCGTACGTGCTTGCAGCAGGTATATGTACATACATACGTGCCCACATATGTATATACACTTGTAATTGACAGACATACGTACATGCATGCATAGATGCATGCATGCATACATGTGTGCATACATACGGACGGACATGCATAGATGTATCATACACGCGATTACATGCGTACGTAATCGCTCGTACGTACATACATATGTGGGCGCATGCATGCGTACATGCCTGCCCACATACATATATGCGACCTACACGGGCTTCTGTTGCCTTGGAGTCTTCGATTGTTATGGTCAAAGCAGTTGCCAAATAGTGTCTGTCTCCTTTTCAGGAAATTCTGCTCTATCTGCTTCTGTTTCTCCCTTGGTTTTGCATGACACATGCATTTCTCCTTGTCTTTCTGCAGCCATGGCTGCGACAGGATGCTCTGCTCTATGTGTTCCTGACTGATTCCTTTCTGCAGAACTTGCGCAGCCGCGAAGCGGGCATGTCTCCGGTCCAATCCCAGCCCCTCAGCCTTCCGCATCCTTTGAGGAGAAACCTCTCTGTTTCCTTTGCGTACATGCGTGTAAACATGCGCGTTTCTGCAGGTTGAAGAGTATCTTACGGAGCCTGTGCAGCTGTCCAGGATCGGGGAAACGCAAGCTCAAAGAAGCTTTCGGCTGCTTTGCCGCTCGGTCTGCGCTGCCGTTGTGGATAAACTTATAGAAGGTCGAACGCATTGAAGACCAGAGTGTCGCTGTGCTTCTTTCTGCGAGGTAGGCTGTCATTACAGTGTTTTGTATTTTTCGAAGCTCCCCCGCACCTCCGAGCATCTTGCCAGTTTCATGTCAATTTCCTGGACGGCGATGTCCTCGAGATTCCGGCAACCGAGACTGACCAGGCTGAACATGGAGATCATGCTCGCGCGACACAATCCTGTGCAACCCTGCCAAGATATCAGGCGTGCAAGCGGCCCGAACTGTTCTGCCCGAAGGGCATCCTCAACTTGGTCTGCAAGCGAGCCTGAGATCGGACTCGAGAAGTGTTTTGAATTTGAGGGCCTGAAGCCTTCGATGCAGCCAATTATCAGTCTGCCTTTTCCGTTGTCACTGACAGAACTCTTTGTCAGAGTGGCAGCAAGTCGTCGTCACAGGGAGTGCGCGCTCCGGGTTGTCACGAAGTGACTTGGAAATGTCTGTGCGATTCCGGGGCTAGCTCAGAGATGCTCAGAGGTTTTGTGATGTGGTGGTCGCTGTGTTTTAGTGTGCCGGTGGTGGTGTGAAGATGATTGTTTTTCCTTTTGCTGCTGGGTAGTAATGGGCTGTGCGGGTGGCAACGGGTGGGGGTAGGGCGGTGCAGTTGGTCCTAGTGATGCTTGTTTCGACGTGCTTCCGTGGTAGCTTGACAGCTTGACAGCTTGACAGCTTGACTTGCTGCTACAAGTAACCAGGGAGTTGCTTGGCTTTAATTTTGTGCAAGTGTCCTTGAACGAGCAAGAGGCCGTTTCGTGTGGGCACTTCCTGGCTGTGACCTGCAGTGCGGCAGCTGCTCCTTGACCGTTTCCGTTTCCATGTCCTGGCACACAGTATTAAGGCTTTTGATCCTAAAAGAGGCGAGACACGCTCATCATGCAGTGGTATTGAAAGCCTGACAGTGGCAACTCGACCAGCAGCTCGAGCTTGAGTGGTGTTGTGTAGACTGAGCAATGAGCCGCCACGGGACCCTCTGCACATAGAGCGCATGGCGATCAAGGACACCGCAACGAGATGCGCATTTAGGCTGAATTTTGGCCGTAAATCAGCGAATTGCATCCTACCTGTACCTGCTTTGTGCAACCTGCAATTGATGGAAAGTGCCAGGAGCCAGAAGATGCGAGCCTAGGCCACGATGGCAAGGGTACCCTGAACGGATGCAGCATCAAGAAACCTGCATGGCATTCACAACACGGAATCCATTATCAGTGCAGTGCGGTTTTCCCTGCGGCCTCGGAATTCATTTAGTTTTGGGTGCATGTTTGGTGCATGCATTATTCGGCGCATGTTCCGGTTCATTTTACATTTGAGCCCTACATTAACCTTAAACCTGGTTGCATCGTTTCGGGGAGATTTCCTTTTCACCGGCGTATCGATGCCAGATGCTGCGAGGCTCCGAATCGACTTCAGCCCCAACTGCCGCATCCTCGAAGTTCTACTATCCACTTTGGCGAAGCTCTCTGCAAGCTGGTGACTGCCATGAGAGGGCTCAGAGGATGCTAACATCCATTGCCTCAGCCTTTTTGGCTCTAAACCTTGCAAGCAAGGCGGGCAGCATGGTCGCAGTGCCTTCGCTGCATGTGCCATGCTCTGGACAAGCTCGGCCTGGCATGGCACGCAGCTGGAGGTCGGCCTTGTAAGCTTGTCATTGCAGTTTGCTGAAGGTCGTTGGTCGGTTTTCATTTGGGAACTACCAAAAGCAACCACGCATGTGCGTGCAGCTCACAAATCTGAACTCGATACGTGGGCTCAAGGCGCTGTGTAGTTTTTTTGGCTGTAGATATGCCCGCGCGGCACGTCATCAGCGAATGGTGATCCGCGCTTGCGCCTTGCATCTCTCGGGGTTACGCCGTATCAATGGAGATGGCAGACCATGTGTCACCGGACCTTTTCATCGCTTGCCTGGCGGGTGAGAAAGGAAATGTTGGCAGGACTGCGAGCTCGTGTGAGACCGCCTGCTGTGCGATAGGTCTTGAGATGGTAGTGCTATTCAGAGGCTTTTTGCACGAGAGTTGAACTGCATGTGCCATTGTGATCGTCAGGATAGCGGACATCGTGCGCACTGCTGAGCACACTGTTTGCAACTTGCATGAGCTTCGCTTGATCTATTCTTCGGCCATGGACGTTTATCCGAAGGCACCCAGTTTTTTTCTTTCATCCTTCAGTAACTACCGCCGCTGCTGTTTGAGAATTTATGACTCATGACAGATCCGGCCTTGCTACCCTGAGGTCGAGGATGCCGGCTATCGCGAGCTCTGTGTCAAGTACATGCAGGTGCTGTGCGAGCTGGATACCAACGAAGCACGCGAGTTTCACAACAGACAGCGTGCCTTCGGCATCACCAGCGATGCACGGATGTACGAAGCCCGTGCTCGCTTGGAGGAGCGGGAAGGGGACACAGCCAAGGCTTTGAAGATCCTGCAGGAAGGTCTTCGCATCGGAGCGGGGCCTCCTGACAGATTGACAGCTCAGATCGCGGCCTTACACATGCGGCGATCGAAACACTGCGATGCAGAGATCCAGCAAATATTGGAGCCCCTGGAGGCTCAGACGGAAGTACATGATACCATCATGGAAATTGAGGCAGAAAGCGTTCCGCCGATTCGGAGGGTGCATGAGACACCGCTCATTAAGATGCGATCATGGGCAGAAGGCTGGACTCAAACAGAGGTGGCAGTTGACACCGGGATGCTAGGCAACCCTTCGGCCGACAGATGTCTGCAACGATGGTTGCGCGTTGAATGCAGGCGCTGCCTGCTGAAGTGCTTCGGTGCTTGGAAGCGACTGGTGGACACATCTGCCCAACTGCGGCGCGAAGCATTGTTTGATGCTCTGCGTGGACAGTTAAACTCAGCCCAACGGCGATGCCGAGCAGCGGAGCTTTGCCTCGCCAAGGGTCAGTCAGAGGCAGGTGCGATCTGCTTGCGAGCGGGGCTCCGAGCGTGGAGGTCACTTGCCAAGTTCTGTAGGCAGCGGGCGAAGCTCGCAGATGCAGCATATCAGGAGTTCGTGCGACGGTCGGCAAGCCTTATTCTTTGGGCCTGGAGGACATGCCTTTCTTCCCGGGCCGGGGATGTCGAGAACTCGCAGCAGCCGGAGAACACAGCCTTGGATTGCCTGTTGGTGGACTTCTGTAGCAGCTTAGAGGACAGGACCGAAGAGGTTCATCATCAGACAGACCTCTGCGAGAAGCCTGCGGCAGGCAAGCCAAGCGGTGTCGCGGACCTTGCTTCTTTCGAGCGGCAGCCGCTTGCGAGTGTCGCTATACAAAATGCTCGCTACTCGTTGGCAGATGCAGAGGATGCGAAGCGCATGCGGGGACCTGAGCGGTTCTTCTACGACACATCCAGCTATACTGGTTGTGCCAGGTATGGGGGCCCGATGATAGTCGACAAGAAGGAAAATTCTTCGGGAGCCAACAAAACAGGGACGTCTGGCAAAGTGGTGCAATGTAGTGGAAGTCTGCAGGGCCAATCCCAGACAAAGCGAAGCAAGCCTTTTTTGCCAAGATAAGTTGCCTCCTGCGCCTACCCCCTGGCTCACACCGTCAGCCGACGATGTGTGGTGTCGACATCAAGTATTGCTAGAACATGTGACCGGCTTACAACAAGCTTAATCGATAATTCGATCTACGGAGATGCTGTGTGCTCCGGACTAATTCGCAGAAAAGTGCTTTGCGGACGCCTTGCTGGGCTGCTTCAGTAAAATCAGAGATCCTCGAGGAAATCGTGAGCTTGTTTGCAGCAGCGATCAAGCAAGAAAGCCGCCTTGAGTCTAACACCCGGAACTGGGAGGCGAAAGCACGGTGCGCTGCTTCCGGCTCTGCTGGTCGGCTTGACAGCTGCGAGCATCGCAGGGTGGTCCTTTGTCCAGGCCTGGTTGCTCGTACGCTGCCCCTGGCGGCATCGACTCACCCGACAGCTGGAGCAGCTACTCGTAGGTCTCCGGCCGTGGAAGCGGTGGAGCGGAGTCTCGCTGTGTGCGATGTGCCGCGATGGATGCAGAGAGCAACGCTGCGACCACAGGCGCGGTGCAACGCAGAGTGCAAGTGCTCGCACAGCTCGGGCTGTTTGCGCGTCCGAAGCAGTTACGTTGGGTGCTCTCGTATAGGTGCAAAGACAGAGAGCCTGGACATGCCGTCCTTCGAGCCCAGAGATGTCGGCAGTGCCGAGCAGCTGTCTGTCCGAACAAAGGACAACCGATGAGGGCTTTGCAAAAGTCGCTGTTTTTCCTGATTGCTAGTTGTGTTCAGTGATGCACTGGCCGGTTAGCGTGGGCAAATCTGAGGCTGATGCTAAGCCGCATGCCAGCGGGGTGCCTTGAATAAAGCATCGGCATGATTCCCATTATGTCACTCGCCATGTGCTGCGCTAGCAGGTGTGACTTAAGCAAGCTTTCAAGCCTCACGCGGATAGTTGATAGGGCTGGAAATTTCTTGACAGCAGCTCCGTTGGACCATCTGTGGTGCTGGCAGAGATTGAGAACCCTATTCTGCTGCAAGTTCGTGTCTGCAAGCTACTAAGTGCACCGAAGGTATGCTGTTGAGAACGATTGGGTGGGCACTGGTTCCCTGCCCGTTTCAGGCACATGATCACCACGCACACCTCCTTGGCTTTGTTGGAGGGTTGCCGGGCAGCAGATTGGCATGTCGGCCAGACCTGGATCTATCAACCCATCCCGTAAAGCCACAATGCCAGAGAATCCCCAAAGACATTCTCCGTAACCCCAAATCCCTGGTGAGGTCATCCCGCGTGCCGTTATTGTCCGAATCCTTGCCAGCTGCGTGCGAGAGTGAGAGTCGAAATCCGTGGACCCAGGCGAGGGTTCCGAATTACGAGTGGTAAATCCCTAAACCTCTGGACCGGAGAAGATCGCCCAACTTTGTCCAAAAACTCAAAAACCTGCCTCGCGGCCTGGCGGAGGAATGCAGAAGATGTAGCACGAAAAGGGCCGATCCAAAAAGAGCCCTGGAGGGCCGATGACACTGCTGGAAACTCTCTGCTCAAGAGCGTGCACCGGGAATTGGCGCACAGAGCCTAACAAAATAGTTGCGAGAGGATGCGAATCTTTATCGCTTCGGACATGAAGACATGACTAGCCATGACTAGCCGTGAGTTCAAAACTCCCCAGCTCCTACAACCCCAACTAGATGTCTTCGTCGGAACGCCTCCAAAGCAAGGACAGGTAGACGTCGAGCTGCTCAAGAAGGTGCAATTCGCTTCCGTGTGAACTTATCAGGGTCTTTGCGTTGCTGTGCAAACCCATCTGCGCAGAGACGGCATGCGGACATGGCATGATGCAGGGACAGAAGCACGAAAGAAGAGAGAGAGAGAGAGAGAGAGAGAGAGAGTGAAGGAAGGCAGGAAGGGAGGAAGGGAGGGAGGGGAGAGAGAGAGAGAGAGGCAGAGAGTCCTTAGTCTGTTGGTGCAAAAAGCAGAAATGTAGCCTACCGTAGTGTTTTACATGGGCCAGACAGACAGACAGACAGCCAGCTAG